CCCCTCTGTACAATATACACTGCACCCCCTGTACAATATACACTGCACCCCTTTGTACAATACACAACACACACTGCACCCCCTCTGCACAATATACAACACACACTGCACCCCTCTGTACAATATACACTGCACCCCCTGTACAATATACGACGCACACTGCACCCCTCTGTACAATATACGACACACACTGCACCCCTCTGTACAATACATGACGCACACTGCACCCCTCTGTACAATATACAACGCACACTGCACCCCTCTGTACAATATACGACGCACACTGCACCCCTTTGTACAATACACAACGTACACTGCACCCCTCTGTACAGCCCCATACACCACCCACCCCGCCCCCCTCTGTACAATACACGACACACACTGCACCCCTCTGTACAATACACGACACACACTGCACCCCTCTGTACAATACACGACACACACTGCACCCCTCTGTACAATACACGACACACACTGCACCCCTCTGTACAATACACGACACACACTGCACCCCTCTGTACAATACACGACACACACTGCACCCCTCTGTACAATACACGACACACACTGCACCCCTCTGTACAATACACGACGCACACTGCACCCCTCTGTACAATACACGACACACACTGCACCCCTCTGTACAATACACGACACACACTGCACCCCTCTGTACAATACACGACACACACTGCACCCCTCTGTACAATACACGACACACACTGCACCCCTCTGTACAATATACGACACACACTGCACCCCTCTGTACAATACACGACACACACTGCACCCCTCTGTACAATACACGACACACACTGCACCCCTCTGTACAATACACGACACACACTGCACCCCTCTGTACAATATACGACACACACTGCACCCCTCTGTACAATACACGACACACACTGCACCCCTCTGTACAATACACGACACACACTGCACCCCTCTGTACAATACACGACACACACTGCACCCCTCTGTACAATATACGACACACACTGCACCCCTCTGTACAATACACGACACACACTGCACCCCTCTGTACAATACACGACACACACTGCACCCCTCTGTACAATACACGACACACACTGCACCCCTCTGTACAATATACGACACACACTGCACCCCTCTGTACAATACACGACGCACACTGCACCCCTCTGTACAATACACGACACACACTGCACCCCTCTGTACAATACACGACACACACTGCACCCCTCTGTACAATACACGACACACACTGCACCCCTCTGTACAATACACGACGCACACTGCACCCCTCTGTACAATATACGACACACACTGCACCCCTCTGTACAATACACGACGCACACTGCACCCCTCTGTACAATACACGACACACACTGCACCCCTCTGTACAATACACGACACACACTGCACCCCTCTGTACAATACACGACACACACTGCACCCCTCTGTACAATACACGACACACACTGCACCCCTCTGTACAATATACGACACACACTGCACCCCTCTGTACAATACACGACACACACTGCACCCCTCTGTACAATACACGACACACACTGCACCCCTCTGTACAATACACGACACACACTGCACCCCTCTGTACAATATACGACACACACTGCACCCCTCTGTACAATACACGACACACACTGCACCCCTCTGTACAATACACGACACACACTGCACCCCTCTGTACAATACACGACACACACTGCACCCCTCTGTACAATATACGACACACACTGCACCCCTCTGTACAATACACGACACACACTGCACCCCTCTGTACAATACACGACACACACTGCACCCCTCTGTACAATACACGACACACACTGCACCCCTCTGTACAATATACGACACACACTGCACCCCTCTGTACAATACACGACGCACACTGCACCCCTCTGTACAATACACGACACACACTGCACCCCTCTGTACAATACACGACACACACTGCACCCCTCTGTACAATACACGACACACACTGCACCCCTCTGTACAATACACGACGCACACTGCACCCCTCTGTACAATATACGACACACACTGCACCCCTCTGTACAATACACGACGCACACTGCACCCCTCTGTACAATACACGACACACACTGCACCCCTCTGTACAATACACGACACACACTGCACCCCTCTGTACAATACACGACACACACTGCACCCCTCTGTACAATACACGACACACACTGCACCCCTCTGTACAATACACGACGCACACTGCACCCCTCTGTACAATACACGACGCACACTGCACCCCTCTGTACAATACACGACACACACTGCACCCCTCTGTACAATACACGACACACACTGCACCCCTCTGTACAATACACGACACACACTGCACCCCTCTGTACAATACACGACACACACTGCACCCCTCTGTACAATACACGACACACACTGCACCCCTCTGTACAATACACGACACACACTGCACCCCTCTGTACAATACACGACACACACTGCACCCCTCTGTACAATACACGACACACACTGCACCCCTCTGTACAATACACGACACACACTGCACCCCTCTGTACAATACACGACACACACTGCACCCCTCTGTACAATACACGACACACACTGCACCCCTCTGTACAATACACGACACACACTGCACCCCTCTGTACAATACACGACGCACACTGCACCCCTCTGTACAATACACGACGCACACTGCACCCCTCTGTACAATACATGACGCACACTGCACCCCTCTGTACAATACATGACGCACACTGCACCCCTCTGTACAATACATGACGCACACTGCACCCCTCTGTACAATACATGACGCACACTGCACCCCTCTGTACAATATACGACGCACACTGCACCCCTCTGTACAATATACGACACACACTGCACCCCTCTGTACAATACATGACGCACACTGTACCCTTCTACAATACACAACGTATACTGCACCCCTCTGTACAATACACGACACACACTGCACCCCTCTGTACAATACACGACACACACTGCACCCCTCTGTACAATACACGATGCACACTGCACCCCTCTGTACAATATACGACGCACACTGCACCCCTCTGTACACTATACAACGCACACCTTGCCTTGCAGTTGGGCTTCTCACAGTGTGTGTTCTGTCTTCCAGATGAGGTTGGTGCGCTGGTGTTTGATATCGGGTCATACTCGGTCCGGGCCGGCTATGCGGGTGAAGATTGCCCCAAGGTACCTACCTTCCTATACCCCTCCCCCGCTTACTCCTGATACACATATATAAAATCCAACTGGTATGGTTGTCTAATTCCACCAATGAGATGACCGGAAATCTGTCTTTTTATTTTGAGTTGTCACACACCAGCTGCACACTAAAATCAGGCTTGCGGCAGCAGTGTGCTCAAGGAGCTCGGGTTGGGTGTCTCCGTTGCGGTGAAATCACCGGTGTTCCATAGGAGGTTCTGTCGGGTTGTCACCCTTCCTGGTGTTATAACCGACGTTTGTTCATTTAGGAGGTCCAGGGTCGGGCACTCTCTTATAGCAACCTGGGAAACACCCCAAGCCCCGCCTACCCTGTGGCACTGTGCGGTGCCCCTGCGTTGTCTGGGTGCCAGTGTGACAGTGGGGGGTCTTCTGTGTGATACCGCGGCTCCAGCAAACAAACTCCATCCACCGATACCACACACTGCTACAATGTTACAATGTTTGGTTATCCGTGGATAGAAAGATGGCAATTCCGGGGGTCACTGGCTCACTTTAGGGGTTCAGATGGGTGTTCTGTCATTTGTTTTTACTTTTAATAGTACGCAGGCGGTGAACGCAATGCCC